TTTATCCCCAAGTTTAGAACAGTCCATTCTATCTTTCAACTTTCTTAACTTCCTCACCATTTAGAAATTCTGTGTATAGTCAGTATTCTTTAGCAACACCACACTTTATATGCATCAGTTCTTTTTCTGTCTAACTCATTCATTGTTCAGCTTTGACACACATATGAGGCGATTGAAAAGATCATGACTTTTGTGAGGCACACCTTCATCAAAGTGACATCTTTGCTTTTTAGAACTTTAAAGAGGTCTATTATAGCACCTTTGCCCAATGCAATAATGTATCGTTTGATTTCTTGACTGCTGTTTCCATGGGTATTGATTCTGGATCCAGTAGAGTGAAATCTTTGACAACTTCAGGGTTTTTTTTCCTCCATGTATCATGATGATGTTTATTGGTCCAGCTGTCAGGAGTTTCCCTTCTGTTTACCTCAGAGGATAATCAAAAATGAAGAACACACGCCTAGTAAAGCGTGGAAAACGTACTTGTCATTGCTATCTCTGCTGAAATGTTTGAACTTTTATGTGATCTTTGCCTAAATCCATTGCCTTGTTTGAACTGATCTGTTTGTTCAATTAATAACCTTTGAAAAAGAAAGAAAGAAGAGTTAATTACTCCTTTTTAATTCTCTTAAAATTACTTCTTTTACCATTTCTTTTAGAAATGGAATTATTGGGGCAAAACGTATTTCGAAGACAAACCACTGCCATTGAATTGATTCTGACTTACGTTGTTTATATTGTTATGTGCCGTCGAGTCAGACCCGACTCATAGTGACCTCTCCTTGGGTTTCCGAGGCAGTATCACTACGGAAGTAGATCGCCCCATCTTCCTTCCGAGGAGTGGCTGGTGAGTTTGAACCGCCAGCCTTCTGGGTAGCAGTCAAGTGCCTTAGCCACTATGCTACCAGAGCTCCCAAAATTATTATATGTTGTTGTTGTTGTTGTTATGTGCCGTCGAGTCAGACCCGACTCATAGCGACCCCTCTTGGGTTTCCTAGGCAGTATCACTACGGAAGTAGATTGCCTCATCTTCCTTCCGAGGAGTGGCTGGTGGGTTTGAACCGTCAGCCTCCTGGTTAGCAGTCAAGTGCCTTAGCCACTACACTACCAGAGCTCCTTTCTGACTTATAGAATTATAAAATTATAAAATAATTATAAGACTATTTTGCACAAGTTTGGATTTATATTGAGTTAGATCTGTGTACTGTAATTTATTTTAACTCACCTGCTGTCATCGGCGTATAACGGCATGGGGAGTCTGGGGCAGTAGATTGGAGAAAGAAGGGAAGAATAAAGGGAAAGGAAGAGAAGAGGGACGAGCCGAAGGAATTAATTGGGAAGGAAAGGCTGTAGCAGTGCTGTGGGTTGGCCTTGTGGTACCAACAGAAGGGGCTCAGCTTTGCCCATAATGCCATTGCTGGAGTTTCTTTTCGCAGTTTTAAACATTTAAACATTTGTGTTCCTAAAATAGTTTGAGACCACCACTTGTCTGAATCTGATCATTAACTTACATTATTGGCCTTCTTCTTTCTCTGTCTGTCCGTTTCTCTCTCTCTGTATGTGTGTGTGTACAATTACCACTGTTTGAGTAAAGAATCACTTGTAATTTCATAAGTGAAATACTTATGTGAAAGTCTTATTTCCACCAGAAGCAATAAAATTAGTAGTTGTCAGCCTCAAACTCGATTCTTTTCAAGTTACAAGAAAGACTCTGGCTTTCTTAGTCACCCGTCTCTTGTTTAGCACCTGCCAACAGTGTCTCAGTTTCATTGCCTAGTGTCTGTTTGGTCAGCAGTATTTTTTAGACTTAGGCTTAATTAGGATGAATTTGTGACTTTTCTGTATTAGGAGATTGACATGAAGATTGTCTTAAAGTGTCAGGTATTGAGAGTTAGTTATTCTCTCAAACTTCTCAAACTTCTGTCATTGGCAATGATTATATTCTTCAACCCTTTGTTTTTCCCACTGTGCCTGGGATCATGGGATATTTATGTGCATGTGTGATTAATACATACCTGTTATTTTCCTCTTCCATTAACAGAGTTTCACTTACTTACTTTTCCTTTGACTAATTTTTGAACTCAGGTAATATTATTACTTGCTTTTTGCATATAAAAAGGATATGGCTTTAAAAAGTGCTGCTGCACACATAGAGCCGTTTGGCTGTGGAGACGTTATTCCGGGTAACGGAAGTAACTAGTATGGATGGGAATATTTCCCTCTTGGCAGTTGGAACAAGGATCTTGTTTGTGCAGTTTATGTTTATTTATGAATTTTCTTTTTTAGGATATTCGGAAATTCTTTGGGGTTATACCAAGTGGAAAGAAACTTGTAAATGAAACAGCAAAGAAGAATGAGAAAACGAAGTCTGCTGAAGAAACTTTAAAAGCAAAGAAAGGGATAAAGGAAATCAAGGTAGGCTTTTGAACCGTTTAGTAGAATTTTGAATGTTTGAAAAGTTAAATCAACTGAGTTCCTAAACTGATAGGTTGAGAGCTTGAGTAAATACAAACTTTAGCTTATTTAGCAGAGGGAGATAAAATGTTAAAAAAAACTTGTTACTAATTCTACTTAATATAGCTTACTACAGTCATAGCTTGGTGTTTTCCTTTGTTTAGGCAGAACCCTCTTTAGTTGTTAAAACTTTGTATTTTAAGGCCAAAGCTTGTGCAGATAGAGGCCTAAGCTCTAGGTAAGTGATGTTGGACTTCTAGCGAGGGTAGGCTTTAGAAGAAAGCTTTAATTTTTCCTTGTCCTCTTTGGACCTCAGGGAAGTTAAGTAATGATGGCAATATGCAAAGCAAGCAATGGCTACAATAATGTGTTTCAGTTAATATTACTCCACTTCATGTAAAATATTAGAATCTTGGAACTGTTCAGGTCTGTGTGCCACCACCCCATCATTTATGCTCCAGTTGTCATATGTATTGCATCTACATATGTTTGGTGTAATAATTTTTGTTTCAAACAGACATCTGTGTTTTAAAGAAATTGTTGTCATTGTTCTTGTTGTTTGCCGTCGAGTTGGCCCTGACTCATAGCGACCCCTCCTTGGGTTTCCAAAATTAGGAGAGGAAAAATGTGCTTTCTGTCTTGACTCACAGATTTCCAATTTCTGATGCTCTTCATTTCTTAGCTGAGGACCCTGAGTTACCATCTACCATCATTTCAACCTTACGTTTGTCTAGTACTATTCTAAAGGTTCTTCTTCATCTTTGCATATTTGACAGTAGTAGGTCTGAGTGTGGTTTTCCTTGTGTTTATCCTCCTTAGGATTTCTGAGCTTCTCAGATTTATAAGTTTATGCCATTCATTATGCTTGGAAACCTTTTGCCATTATTTCTTGAACTCTTTTTTGCTGCCCCGTTCTCTCTGTCCTTTCCTTCTTGGATTCCATTTACATACATACTCGAATTTTACTCTTGTCTCACAGGTCACTGAGGCTCGTTTGTTTTTGTCAGTGTTTTTCTTTATATCCCAGATTGGATGATTTCAATTTTTCTATCTTCAAGTTCATTGACTTTTCTATCATCTCAAATTTGCTGTTAAGCCTACCCAGTAATTTTTTATTTTCAAATACTGTATTTTTCAATTCTAGAATTTCTGTTTGGTTCTTTGTCATAATTTCTCTCTCTCCTTTGTTTTTAATTAATTTATTTATAACAGTTTCTACATGTCCAGTTTAGTAACATTGATTACATTCTTCAACTTGTGCAACCATTCTCACCCTCTTTTTTGGAATTGTTCCTCCCTCATTAGTATAACTCACTGTCTCCTAGGGTTGCTGTCTAATCTTTTGAGTTGCTGTTGTCAGTCGGATCTCATGTAGATAGCTCTTAAAGGAGGTTAGTGCTCCAGGCAGACCTTTTTACTGTTGTTGTTGTTGTTGTTGTTATTTGCCGTCGAGTCGCCCCTGACTCATAGCGACCCCTCCTTGGGTTTCTGAAGCAGTATCACTACGGAAGTAGGATTGCCCAACCTTCCTTATCTCATGGCAATAGTTGCAGGGGTTCATCTACCCTCAGTGGCTCTAGAAAGTCCAAAGTCCATGAGAATTTGAAAGTCTGTTTTGCATTTCTTCCCTTTTGATCACAAATCATCTATGGAATCTTTGATCAAAATGTTCAGTAATGGAGCTGGGCACCATCCAGTTCTTCTGATCTCCTGGCAAAGGAGGCAGTTATTCATGGAGGCAATGAACCATGCATTCCATATCCCCCACCCATTCCTGATTCTCTTCTTCATCTGTTGTTCCAGGTGAATAGAAACCAATTATTGTACCTTGGATGGCTACTTCCAAACTTTTAAAACCCAGGTACAATACAATGAAGTAGAAGGTAGAACAAAAGCACTATGTTCATGGTATGTTATTAGGCCAATTAACTGGGATGTCACATAAAACTACGACGCTAAACTTCCATGGGAGCTCTGGTAGCATAGTACCTAAGGCATTTGACTGCCAACCAGAAGGCTGGTGGTTCAAACCCACAAGCCACTCCTTGGAAGGAAGGTTGGGCAGTCTACTTCTGTAGTGATAACACCTCGGGAAACCCAAGGAGAGGTTGCTATGAGTTGGATCTGACTCCATGGCAGTGAGTTTGGTTTGTTTTTTGGTTTGGTAAACCTCCATACCAAGCAACCAAATTGCATAAGGTGTTTGGTTGTACATAAACAGCATTACCAGCTATTTTTTTGGGGGGGATTGGCGATTGTAAATATACCACACAACTTTTGACAATTCACCTTTTTATGGGTGTACAACGTACTGACAGCAATTCAATCACCCTTCCTCCCACCCTTTGTAATGATTAATAAACTTTGATCTCTATACATTTGTCTTTTGTTGTCTTTTTATATAAGTGAGATCATACAGTATTTTTCCTTTTGTGGTTGGCTTATTTCACTCAGCATAATGTCTTCCAGTTCAATCCATACTGTAGCATGAATCAAGACTTCCTTTCTCCTATTGGCTGAGTAGTATTCCATTGTATGTATGTACCACATTCATCCATTCATCTGCTGATGGGCATTTAGGTTGTTTATACTTTTTGGCTATTGTGAATAGTGCTGCAGTGAACCATGGTGTACAGGACTCTTTTTGAGTCTCTGCTTTCAAGTCTTCTGTCTCCTTTATGTTCTTGAGCATCGTTATAATAGCTGCTTTAAAATAGTTGTATGTGTAGTCCATGAAGACAGCGTCCTACATGGTACTTTGATCAATAGCGACTGGAGTCTTAAAAGCTTATGAGCAGCCCTTTAAGAAGCAACCATTGGTCTCTCTCCATCCCGAGCAAAGAAGAGTGAAGAAAATCAAAGATGTACGGAAACAATTAGTCCAAAGGACTAGTTGGCCATGTGAGCCCCAAATTTCATGATTTTGAGACCAGAAGGGCTAGATGGTTCTTGGCTACCATTGCCGACTGCTCTGAAGGGGATTACAACAGCAAGTCTTGGATAGGGTGGGAGAAAAATGTGGAACAAAAGTCAAAATCATAAGAAAAGACCAGGTACAGGTCTGATACAGACTGGTGGAGCCCCTAAGACTATGGCTCTTAGATACCCTTCAAGCCTAGAGGGGAACTCACCCCTTTAGCTCAACTTTCAGTTAAATAATGTTGTTAGGTGCCATTGAGTTGGTTTTGAATTATAGCAACTCTACCACAACAGAATGAAACATCGTTCAGTCCTGGGCCATCCTCACGATTCTTGCTAGCCGTGAGCCCATTATTGTAGCAACTGTGTTAATCCATCTTGTTCTTCTTTTTTGCTACTTTACCAAACATGATACCTTGCTTCAGGGACTGGTCCATTTTGATGATATGACCAGCATGAGAGACAGAGTTTGGCCATTCTTGCTTCTAAGGAGCATTCTGGCTGTACTTCTTCCAAGACAGAATTGTTTGTTTTTCTGGAAGTCCATGGTATATTTAATATTCTTGTCAACACCACAATTCAAAGGCATCAGTTCTTCTGCAGTCTTCCTTATACATTACCCAGCTTACACATGCATATGAGTCTGTTGAAGACACCATGGCTTGTATCAGGTGCACCTTAGTCTTCAAAGTGACATCTTTGCTCTTTAACACTTTAAAGAGGTCTTTTGCAGCAGATTTGTCCAGTGCTGTGTGCTATTTGATTTCTTGACTGCTGCTTCCATGGGCATTGATTGCGGAGCCAAGTAAAATGAAATCCTTGACTAGACTACTTCAGCGTTTTCTGTTTATTGTGATATTACTTATTGGTCCAGTTGTGAGGAATTTTGTTTTCTTTATGTTAAGGTGTAATCCATGCTGAGGACTATAGTCCTTGATCATTAGTAAATGCTTCAAGTCCTCCTCACTTTCAGCAAGGTCATGTCACCTGCACATCATAGATTGTTAGTAAGTCTTTCTCCAATCCTCTTAATATAGTACAGGTCCTCGGATTATTTGCTCAGTATACAGATTCAATAAGAATGGTGAAAGGCTATAGCCCTGACACATACCTGTCCTGATTTTAAACCACATGGTGTCCCTTTGTTCTGTTTGAATGACTACGTCCTTATCTGTGTACAGGTTCCTCATGAGCACAATTAAGTGTTCTGGAATTCCCATTCTTCTGAATGTTATCCTTAATTTGTTATGGTCCACACACTTGAATGCCTTTGCATAGTCAATAAAACACATCTTTCTGGTATTCTTTGCTTTTAGCCAAGATCCATCTGACATTAGCAGTGATATCCCTTGTTTCACCTCTTCTTCGGAATCAGGGTTGAATTTCTGACACTTTTTTGTCGATGTACTGTTGCACTGTTTTGAATTATTTTCAGTGAAATTTTACTTGGATTTATTATTAATGATACCAAAACCAAACTCACTGCTGTTGAGTCAGGTCTGATTCATAGCGACCCCTCCTTGGGTTTCCGAGGTGGTATCTCTACGGAAGTAGATTGCCCAACCCTCCTTCCTAGGAGTGGCTGGTAGATTGAACTGCCAGCCTTCTGGTTAGCAGTCAAATGTCTTAGGCACTACGCCACCAGAGCTCCTTGTCATTAATGATCTTGTTCGATAATTTCCACAGTTTGTTGGATCACCTTTCTTTGGAATGGGCACAAATATGGATCTCTTCCAGTTAGTTGGCCAGGTAGCTGTCTCCTAAATTTCTTGGCATAACAGGTAAGCACTTCCAGTGTTGCATCTGTATGTTGAAACACCTCAGTGGGTGGTCTGTCTGTTCCTGGAACCTTCTGTTTCTCCAGTTCCTTCTGTGTAGCTAAACAATAGGCCTGTAAGGTGAACAGTAATACTAGGCAGGTGTCACTCCTTAAAACAACCAACCATACAAGATCAAAAGGGCAGCATTTGCTCAGGGATTAAAGCTCAGATGGCAGGAAGGGATCGTATAAAAGGACAGATGGAAACAGAAAACACAGGCAG